TTGGGGATGATTTCCAACATGCCCGCAGACCATTACTTCATCTTCTCGGATAGTCTCAGTTCGATTGAGGCTATTCGGTCGATGAAACAAGGTAGGCACTCATCTTATTTCCTTTCAAAGGTAAGGGAGCAGATGAGTGTACTGGTCGAAAGATCATATATGATTACCTTTGTATGGGTCCCCTCACATTGCTCAATCCCAGGCAATGAGAAGGCAGACTCTCTCGCAAAGGTGGGCGCGCAGGAAGGCGAATTTTATGACAGGCAAATTTCACACGATGAATTTTACCATTTAGTGCGTCAGAGTACCCTTTCGAGTTGGCAAACCGATTGGGACAATGGAAATCTTGGACGGTGGTTACATTCAATTATTCCTAATGTTTCTTCGAGAGCGTGGTTTAAAGGCTTAGGCTTAAGTCGTGACTTTATTCGCGTGATGAGTAGACTTATGTCCAACCACTACTCGCTAGATGCTCATCTCAATAGAATAAACCTCGTGGACAGCAACATCTGTCGGTGTGGAAACGGTTACGATGACATCGAACACGCAGTTTGGCAATGTACGGATAATGACGCCGCCAGAGAGCGACTTTTGAATACCCTCGAGGCCCAAGGAAGACAACCCTATGTTCCTATCAGAGACGTGTTGGCAACCCGTGATCTCTGCTATATGCAGTCCGTTTATGTTTTTCTTCAAATGTCTAGTATAAGAATTTAATTCCTTTTGTCTTTTGTCTCTCTTTATTAGTTTTTGTTTGTCTTGTCCCCCCGTCTCGATGAGTCTCATCGTCGCCCACTGGTCACCCACCATAGCCGGTCAAACTCCGGACGAAGCTAGAACAGCACTACCGTTCATACTGGCGACAACGCTCTGATGAGACAACGAAACCCTACCCCAAGCTCCTCCCCTGATCCTATCCTTCGAAAATGTACCCTTCTAACCTCGAGTAAGCCGCGAGTAATCGGCCCAACTCCTACTAGACATAGAATTAAGTGAATTTTGTTACACACAGTGAACAATGAATTATCGGCTCCGTAAAGCTAACGCGATTGAGCCTTCCAAATAAACGAACTAGATAAAAAAAAAAAATCTCAAACTCATCTGATAATAGTAATAGGACTTGGGTGAAGCAATAATCATTCGATCAAAGGATGATGTTTTGGTTCAGTGTAGGTGGAAGTACACGCTATTTCAAAACTACCCAAATTTGGGTAGAATTCACCCAAATCCGTCAAAACTGAACCTACCCAAAAATGGGTAAACTGTGTTGGGAGTGACAAGTTGACAAATGGACAACGTCGATCGGATTGATGTCAATGTTGTTCATTTGTCAACTTGTCACTCCCAACACAGTGTATCCATTTTTTGGGTAGGTTCAGTTTTGACGGATCTGGGTGGATTCTACCCAAATTTGGGTAGTTTTGAAATAGCGTGTAGACACGAAAGCTCGTTGACGAAAAGCGAAAACAGAAGGGGTCCCAGATTACTACCTTGGGGAACGCCGGAAACGTTCGTGAACACTTCAGAACGAGAAGCTCCAATCTTAACGCAAAGCTAACGGTTCGTAAGGTAAGATTTTGAACCACGAGTTTCTCAAGCTTGCTCAAAAGAATGTTGAGGTCTACTCGGTCAAATGCAGCCTTGAGATCACAGCGTCGTAAACAGCGTCGATTTGTCCGCCAGAGTTCATGGTCCGAACGCAGAGCGACACGAATTCGGTCAAATTGGTTGTAACTGACCGTTTTGGGTAGAATCCATGCTTAGCCGTGGAGATGTAATTTTTACAAGAGCTGAAGAGCGCCTCATTGATGATGATCTCGAATACTTTGGAGCTCAGCAACATAGTGATGTGATGCCTCTGTAATTCTGCACATTCCTTTTATCGCGAAAATTTCCACGCCTCAGGAAATTTACTCTCCTGTAGTGACAGATTAAATAACTACACCAAGGGAGTGAGCAACGACTCCGAACACCAGCTTCAGAACGGACGCAGGAATGCCGTCTGGCCCGACAGAAAACTTTGAAGAGCTAGATTGACGGTTTGTTCACTGATGTGAAACGGACGGAGTTTAAATGCATCTGTTGCAGAATCGCTTATAGCAATCGTGACTTGATTTGATGAGGCCGAAGATTCATTGAACGAACTCATGAAATGTTGAGCAAAAAGGCGGCATTTCTCCGGTTCAGATTCAGCGGTTTGCTCACCGATATGAACTGACAATGGCAAACCGACATTGTTCTTTTTAGAGTTAACGAACGACCAGAAATGCTTTGGATTTCTGCGAAGAGTTAAGTTTTTTTTTTATTAGGGAGGCTTTCAGCCTGAGGCTGGTTCGCCTCCGGGGCCTTCTGCGAAGAGATGATTGCGTTAAACCACGGTGGCGGGGCGGGTAATAGGTAAAAATTCAGCCATGATATCCCAAATCATTTGACTGCAATATTCAACTGCATCGTCAACACATCCAGCTAATTCTAATGGTCGCCAATCGATACCGGAAATAGCAGCACTAATCGCAACATAGTCGGCTCGACGGAAATTCAGTGTACGATTATTATCGGAACAATCCTCAAAAACGATTGGCGCTGGGAGGTTCATCAGGACGTCTAAAGCAGGGTGGTCTGCATCAAGAAAGATCAGAGGTTCTATGGCTTCCGAAACGGTGCATGCCAGAGTCGTTAGACAGAACAAGGTCTAGAAAGCGATCCATTGATCTGCGTAAGGCCATGTAAAGCGAAACCGTCGATAAGCGTTGAACTAGCAGCCGATAGAACCGATTGAGGACCCATCGTACGACTTACTCCACCGGAGCAAAGGCTGTTTATAATCTCCGAGCTGCAGAGCATAGTCATTGAATTCCAAATTGGTTCACTAATTGCTCGACTTGGCGTAGTGATTCTTAGCCACAGCTGTTCTAGAGCATCGGAAACAGGTGTCGGACACCTCCACCACGGGTTTTTGCACTGTTCGAGGCATTACGGTCTGTGCGATAAACCGAAAAGGCATTTCCGAACAGTTGAACACTGCATAAACGGTCATCTAGACATGTCTCCGTCAATACAATGACATCATAATCGCACTCGCTAGCGGACAAAAGGAACGAATCTACCTTGGTCCGTAGTCCTCGAACATTCTGGTAGTATATGCGCCGGAGATGAGCTACGTTTACAGCGCTAACTGCAACAGATGCGTTGTCGGCCGATGGAGCCGTGGTGGAAGGTGAAGAGCTGCATACAATACCACTGGAATTCGAATAGACATACTAGAGCAGGTTGGAAGACCCTATCTCTACATCCATCAACGGGTCTGGGACGACTGTGAAGAACGCAGGCAGCGGTATGCAGAACCGTGTCGGAGAGATCAAGGGCTTCCAAAGTGCCATCTTTGTTTGTAACTCACACAGTCGCGCCTGCCGTGACGAACTTGGAATGCGTAGGCATTTTTTTAATTTTCTTATGTCGTTTTGTTTTTTTTTCATCATCGTACTGCAGAAGTCTTCACTGCTTTCGTTGTGGTTTTCATCATCAGCAGCGAGTGTTACATTTTGCCTGTAAGCAGCGGCCATTACTGGTGATTGTTGTTTGCCATGGCTTTACCTTTCACTGCGTGACAAAACGTTCTGTCAACGATAGTCGGTTGATGCGTTGACGAGTGTCGAGTGAGTGTCATGATATTTTGCACCAGGTATTTAACAGGACGCTTGATGCCGCTCTAATTTGCAGAATAAACATTTGCTTTTCAGTTCGCCGTAGTATTTTACTCCACTCAATTAAGGTGCATCGCTCTGCAATCTTTCATTCTGATTTATCTCATTATCACCTCGAAATTTCAAGAGCACAAATATCAGCTCTCACAAAATATACAACGATGTACTTTTAATGCAAACAAATACAAAATCAAAGGTATAAGACACAGTCCACACACCAAGGCTGAATCCCGTCAAACTCATCCCGGTAGTAGCTGATGTGACACATTGATTTACTGTGACTGGTAGCGGCAGCTGCTGGAACCGGTGCCAAACTGAACGCCACAAAATTGGCTAAGTCATCACCAGCGGGATTCGTTGTCGGATTTCCTGAATTAGATTCGAACTCTCCAAACTCTTGACCGCCCTTGATGCAGTCGGAAGCGTCGGAATCGTAGATTTGGCGTGCCCATGAATTAAAGTCGTCGAAATCGTCCTTGGCGGAGGCTTCGGCGGACAGGTTCCGAACAGGTCTTTCAGAATTTCATTGCTTGACTGCTGTTTCCCGCTAAACGTGTTGATGATCTCTTCGGGGTCGGTGTTGCACTGGGTCGACTAGTTGATGCCCAGATTGGCTGATTTGCTATCCTGATAAAAACCGTACTCACTGGAACCGTCTCCACTGCCACCATACTACATTCCACCTGTCACATCCAAGTTGTCCTTTCCGCCAGGTTTTCATCGCTTTATCGATCAGCTCACGATCGCGATCAGCCTTGGCTTTTGCTGTTTTCATACAATAAGGTATAATTCTCCAACGACTGCAGATCGTAGATGTAATCCTGCAAATGTTTCGCATTGATTTTGTTAATTTACGTTAATGATTTGTTAATAATGTTAGTTACGTTCGAAATTGAGATGGACTAACAAAGGTCTCCAACAGTCGACCAAACAATAAAAATAATCATCAATTTTAGTTTATAAACAAATGTGGATGTTATGGCTGCCAGTAAGCATTAATTTTCGCTCAAGGTTTTGACAGGTAGGTCGACATGCAGAAACACCCTAAAACACCTGCTGATATCCAAAAACACGCAAGAAACACAATCAACAAGCACAAGGTGGCAGAGTGACTTACCCCCTGACTGGAACTCTATTTTGGGACTCTTCACCTTAAAAGGTAGTCTTGGAATGTACGCAAATTTTGCAAATACATAGTAGGAAGATCTCCGAAATTTGTCTTGCATTTTATACAAACGGTTACCCCAAGAAATGTGATATTAAAAAAAAAAAAAAAACAAACGTTCACACAAGTGATTCAAATCAATAAATAATATTGTAACTTCGTATCCATTCAACTTCTATCAACACTTTACGGATGTTGTAACATCAAAACCACTAGCGTCGCCGATTGCCAACTTGCCTATATACCATAATAATATTACACATTCTCAATTTACTTAGGCTAATAGATATCGAGCTACCACTGTCCTTCGATCAGTCGTGCATGTCCCATTCCTAACTATAACTTCCACTGCACGGATCAATTATTTTTGCCTTCATAATATCTACAAATCTATTCGCAATACGGAGCGGAATAATTGAATTAAAACTCAGTGTGTCACCTCTACGTGGTAAACTTATCTAGAAAAGTATCTCGGGCTCAAGACGTTAGGCAACGCAGAGAACCAGAATGTTTCGTCGAATGACATGTTTCTATTTTCAATACATTTTTTGTAATAATAACTCACTAGCACAGATTGTGTTGTGTTACTACTATCGAAGACAACATATCAAGAAGACTGAAAACTCTTCCATTCTCGTCATCTGCCGCTCAACGTTAAATGCTTCGAACGATAGCAAAGATTACAACCTCAGAAGAAAGGTTTGTGTTTTTGCTCATTTTTCTATGCAGTACTTCCACTTCCGCTCGAGCGCAACGCTACTGTATCTGTCGCTTGGATTCCGGCAGAGTTGCCAGCCTTTTTGATTTGATGTCTTCGCTACTATACTAACTCGTCGTCGATCGTCGAGTTGTTACAATCAAACGACTCAATTTCGAACAACTAATGGAAAATGGAAGGGAAACAATCGCCGTACAGCGTTTATCGCGCCCAATCCAACGCCCAACGGGTTTGACTTTTGTAATAACTTTCGCTCGAATCGGCTAAGGCTCTTTCGACGTTAGATTGCTATTACCTACTTACCTATTTCCGCGCTGGAGGCTGTAGGAATAGATGGAAGTTGCCGTTAGCTAGTTGGATGGCAGAAATTTAATCTCAGATCACTCACATGAATAAAAACCATTTTGGGCATCCACCGCTTGACCAGCGAGTCCAGTTCGGCTTTGAGCTGTGCTTCCAGACTTTCGTCGGACGTGTCCTCTGCTTCGGTACCAGCTTGCTGGGGTTGAGTATTACCGACCGAATCGCCACCGGAGGTGTTCGTACTGGCCACCATCGAACCGGCACCTGGCACCGGAGTACGCTTCCCGGATTGCTGGACACCGCCACTGTTGTTGACCATCGCAGTTCCCGCGTTTCCGTGGTAGACATAGTCCAGTTGCAGCTCCGGCAGTGGCTGCCAACCGGCCTTCAGGGGGTACAGATTGTACAGCAGCTCGTACGACGAAAAGGCAAAGATGGTGACGTTCAACTGAGAAGGTGGACATTTAGAAGAGATTTTTTTTGAGAGGGCGAACAAAAATTACCTGCCGATGACCGGAGAACATGAAGCTATCGGAGCTGTTCAACAGTGCTTGCAGGTGAACAATTTTCCGCGTCGGGTTCTTCAACGTGACCCGGAGGGTCATCGGCACTCGAACGTACATCTTCTCCTCCAGATAGCAGTAGATGTTCAGCGGAGGATCTATCACTTCTGTAATCATCATAATGACAGATTTCAGTTTGTATTTATTATGACCTTCAGGACGACCAGCCTTACCTATCCCGTTAATCACAAATTTGGACTCGTTGATCATGCTGGGCGCACTGCTGCGACACCACCGAATGCAGTACACCCCGAAGATCACCATCTTCTCCTTGACTGCACCGGACTGGTCCGTTCCACTGGGTTCCACGGAACGTGCTTTGGCGGGTACCGTTACCGAAGGAGTAGCTGATTGAGTACACAACGCAGCGTTGATGAACCCGTTCCGCTCGTTGTTGGTCAGTTGAACACAGTCGATAGTATGGTTGTAGATGTTCTTCACCTGTGCTAGATGTTTGGTAAAATCCTCCTTCTGTTGCTGGTCGCCCCCGGGGCCAGAACCACTAGTCAATGGTTTCACCTTGAAATCGTCTGCACTACCCGTCGACGAAGTCATTGCAGCACCTGTCGTTTGTGAAGGACAAGCCGGAGGCACCGGAGAAGATCCCGAAGTAGCAGCATTGAGAGATTGGGATGAACTCGTTAGTGGAAGATTCAACTGATTCGTTAGGTTGGCATTAGTGCTACCGATGATCGTGGCATTGGTGGGCAGTTTGGCCAGCAAACTCCGGTTGAATTGGTCGTCCGGCGGCTGACGGTTTGCAACCGCCCCCGCCGATGGGGCCTGCAACGCACCGTGGTCCGGCGTCCGACTACGGCTGAACGTCAGGTGGACGTCGTTGTTGAGATAATCGCTTTGCATTATCCAATCCCGGCTGCAGTTGATGGAGTTCAGCAGCCGAAGGTCTTCGAAACGGGTGCCCTGGCGGAGCTTGGTCCCGGCGACACGCTGCTGGCCCTTGTACGGTTTCTCAATGATGTTGTGATCCTGCGGGGCGAGGAAACGTTAGAAATGGAATTTTTAGTACTAGTACTGCTGGTCGTTAGGACCTGCTCTCTTCACTTTTAACAATATATTTTGAAAAGTTCAATGATCGGATGGATTATAAAACAATTTTCCAACATAGTTGAAGATGCTAATTTCAAATAATAGACTGTGGAAACCCGTGGAAACGAACGATTTCAAATTGGCTCACTACTTGACTAGCCTATTGGTCCCAAGCAAATCGATTAACGTATCCCATTCTAGTATAAATTCTAGTACTACACTATGTTTGTTTTGATTCGCTATGAGAGTTTGACAGATAAAATGAGGGATGCGTGGATTTTCATATGTTTCGAGCGTTTCGAGGGGTGCATTGATTAGCTTGGGACCGAAGATAGTACTAGAGCTGAGCCAAAAAGTTGAGCACGTTTCGTCTGGTCTTAGAGTTACCTCTATGACGACTCTATCTACGATGCAGGAAATATTGTGTTTTGCTGTATGGCTAGCTGCGCGTACACTGAGTAGATAGAAAGAAGATTTTTCGCGATTTTGAAGATTTCCTGCAAAAAGATGAAGCGCGATGCAAGTAAAAGATTTTTCGAAGATTTATTCGCTAGTGTGAGAATTGAGATTTAGATGTGTCGCCCCCCTCGAATGGCATCATTGCCATAGTTTTTATTTTCAAATCAAATTTAATTACCCATCTGTTCAATTTCAGCTGGAATTTTCACTTTTTACGACAATCATAACAAAACCAATAATTGACAGCTATTTATTTCTACCTATGTGTGTGAATGCACTAGTGAATGAACACACACCATCATACACAGGTTTCACTTTTGCTCAGAAAAGGCGTTGCTGTTACCAGGCATGGAAAATCATTTGCATTTATTTCGTGCATTCATTTACATTCATTTGCCTCTAACTTTTTTCTTCAACAGCATTCCGCAAAATGATGTATAAAACTTTTGTAGGTTTTGTTGTTAACTACAACTTTTGCTCATAACTCAAATCTGTATCTCTCATGCATCACGAACTAGACCGGGCAGAACTTGTTACTGTTTTTCAGTGAATGTAAAATTCATTCACTGAAAAAGACTAGTGGCTTCTGTTCGCTCTGGTTCGTCATGCATCAGAGATACGGATTTGACTTGTTAACAAAAGTTGTAGCTTATAGCAAAACCTACAAAAGCTATTTACATTATTTTACGGAATGCTGTTGAAGAAAAAAGTTAGAGGCAAATGAATGTAAATGAATGCAAATGATTTTCCATGCCTGGCTGTTACTGTCTCCTAATGTTTGGCAGAGTTGCCAGTCTTCTTCATTTGTAGTCTTCGGTTCAAGTCTACCCAACAAAAAATTTAAGCTGAAGCTGAATAAGCATATTTTTGGCTGAACAAGCAAACTCTTGCCTGAATAAGCTCTTATGCAACTTAAAATGTTTGTTGGGTATTTCCTATTCAAAGTTTCAAAGTAAAAGTTAAAGTCAAAATCTTGAGTTTGATTAAGGATTTTTAAATGACTTTGAGATCCTGAGCGGCGAAGATGTTTGAAAAGGTATTCTTGAAAGTGCTAAGACCTTTAATCAATTAATTGTGATGACCTCCTGAAGAAGCTCTCTTCACTTTCAGCAATATTATTTGAAAAGTTCAAACATCATGTGAGCTTGTGAAGAATATTTTGCAAAGCTCAACATTTTCGATAATTATTATAATTCGATTATTTCTAATGGTACTATGTTGGTACTACGGTACTACTGCTCGCAGGGGTATCTTGTAGGCAGGCTTTCTGAAACTCCTCAAACTCACTGGAGGTTTTAAAACACTCTTGTCCTGCGAGTTTAGCCAGTCCTCACCTCGAGTGAGTGGCGGTAGGGATATGGAAGAAGTAAACAAAAACTCCTCGAGAGAGAGGGAGAGTGAACTTCAGCGAGAGGATTATTTGACGTGAGGTGCGCTTTTTGAAGGCCCACGCACATTAGATCCGGATTGGACGCGTTGCGGCAAAGTGAAAGCTAAATCTACTGTCTAACTGTCAAATTTACGTTATTCAACGCAAACGGATCTAATGTGGGTGGCCCTTGAGACTCCAGATGACTTTTTTGTTCGAAGCAAGAAGCTCAGCGTTTACTCCAGGGGCCTGGCTGGCGGCCATGTTTTGGATGCATTCATCTGCTCTTGTCTTTCTGCTTACAACACGATTTTGCGTCCCTGTCCTTCATGTATACGTCAGGTGGGTCGTATTTGAATAAGGCCCGTGATCTTCCCTACTGTCAAACGTATAGGATTGATATGGGGTTGCCACCTTAATAAAAAATAACCATAAACGAACGATAACCCAAATCATTGAACTATTCCACAAATGGTTTGGATGATACCCAGAACACGTCGTTAAGCAAATTAACCATACAATTTTTATTAGGGCAGTCTCCTGCATTCTACTCCTCAGAAAAAGGCTACGCTCAACTCATTTCTAAAGCAAACCCCACACGCATCAATATATTAACGCGAAGGGGAATTATTGACAATAATATTGATGATGTGAATTCAGAAATATTGTCAATCTCGATATATTGACGTCAATATAGAATGTATTGACAATACGATTATTGTCAATAAAAGTAATCGTGTAGGGTCTACTTAGCTCGCGAGTAAGGCTCCATCAAGCCAGCTTGTAAGTATGTATTTAAAACTTGGTTCCTTCAACACAGCAAGGGCCTAATCTAGAGTCCAAAGTTGAAGTTTCTGTATAAATCTTGAGTTTGACGCTTGTTAGGACCTCTGCTGATGTTTTTCTGAAGGCAATCTTCTTTTCAATGTTAATTCCACAGTTGAATTTTTCATCAAAATCCTGAGTCGGATGCTTGAAAAAACTTCTTACATTCTTCTGATGCATTCAAAGAAAAACGATCGTAGCTGAAGTTTCATTAGGAGACCTTCTTTTAGACATCTGTTATTTGATGACCTTTGTGCTCATGATTCATTGCTTAGAACAAGCAACATAGCAGGGGTCTACTCTAGAGTTCAATGTTGAAGTTTCAGTCAACATTTTGAGTTTGATGCTGGTTATTATCTCTGCCGATGATTTTAGAGATTATCCAAAGGACAACCATTTTTATTTCTGAAGGTACTCTTGCAAGCTTCTGTTCAAAGCTAACTGCTCAGTTGAAGCTTTCATTAACATCTTCAGTTTGATGCTTGTTAGGACCTCCCGTTGATGTTATGAGGGGACACTGCAGCGTTTTTCGGTGATATTGTGCTCCTGTGGTGCGAGAAGACTTAAGAAATGTTCGACGACGCTGCGAGGCGGAAATATGCTAAAATAGGAATTCTTTAAAACAAGTTAATACCTTTAACTAGAGCATTACTGATCCTCGTTAGGACTACCTGCAAGATACTTTTAAATGTATCAGTTAAACAGTTCAGAAAGTAATTAAAAATGCAAAATTTCAGATATTTGGAAGTTATGTTTATCTTAAAAAGAGGCCCTTACTGGGTTCTAAACGCATTTCTGAAGCTATCAGGGTCTCTTGCAAGCTTCCATTCAAATCTATGCTGCTTGAACACAGTAAGGGCATACTATAGAATCTAAAGTTTAAGGTACTTATTAGGACCCCTGCTTATGATTTTAGGGGTCACCGAATTGATGAATTCAAATTCTGTTCTGCTCAAAGCTAATTCCAAAATTTTGAGTTTGATGCTTGTTAAGACCTCTGCCCATGATTTTAGGGGTCACGGAAGACACTTCTTGCATTCTTCTGATGAATTCAAAGAAAAGCGATCCAAGTAGGATGTCGTAGCTGATGTTTCACCTCGAAACCCTCTGACGCCTTCTTTTCGAAATCCATTATTTGATGATGACCTGATTCGTCGCCACTATTTCTTACGACAGATTACTTACACTGATAAACTGCGTCTCCAGCACGTCCACCCCGTCCGGTGCCTTCACCTCCATGTTGACCCGCAGGATGAAATCCTCGTTCTTGTACGCCCGCGCCAACGGTTGCCGGCTCAGCGTGTAGAATCGGCCGCTCAGTTTGATTTCCTCCACGCACGGCACCACGACCGTGTCCTCCTTAATCTTCCGAACCTGTTCCTCGTTCAGATGCTCAATCTTGACGTTATGACTGCTGGTATACTTTTGGCCGGTGCGATCGCTGGCCAGCAGCTTGGCCAAATCTTCCTTTTCGCTGTTCGGAGTGGACGGGGAATCCGTCACGGAGTGCGCTGCCGGAGCCGTTTTCGTTTGGTGAAGATTCTCCGTCTGGTAGTACAAGCGCTGGCGCAGTTCAATGTTGCCCTCGATCAAGCTGGTAACGAAGTAGGAAACGCTGCTGGACGATTGCATCTGAAGCTCGCCGATGTCGATCTGCACCTGGGAGTTGATCTTCTGTAGTGGGCTGGTCAGATCGGTCGTGAGGAATACTGAAAGGAATGCAGTGTGATCAACTGGAACACAGTCTACAGTGCGCTTCAATACCGACCATTGCTTCGTAGATTTTGCGGAACACTTATGCTGACACCGACGTTCTGCAGACAGAGATCCGAATTGTTCAAAATCTTCGTCGTTATTCGGTAGAACTCGTTGGTCAGCATTGGCTGGTTGTTCTGTTTAGTTTGCGACCCTAGATGAAACCTGCAAATAATCCAACACTCTAATTTCGCAACCGTTAACTTCAAACCGTAAATACTCACGTTGGAATAATATAACACGAACTAATCACAGCGATCTGCTCCATGCAGTCCCGATGGGGATTGTAGTTTTTGAACACCCTCTGAACGTTTAGCTTTTCCCGTAGCGAGAGCACCGCATAGGTTCGTTCCGAACCCATCTGCACTTCCAGCCGGAAGATGTGGACGTCCACATTCTCCATGAATTGATACCGCTCGCCGACGAATACGATCCGATAGCATTTGTGGGGTTCCAGAATAAACTCCTCGATCGGTTTGAGTGTGTTCTCCTCGGACGACGCTTCAATTGGAGCGTACTCGCAGTACTGAATGGCCGGAACGCGAACCGAGCTGGATTTGAGATCCGTCAAGAGGACGGAGAAATTCTTCAACTTTAAAGGAACTTCCACGATGGATCGGATATACAGCTGCAGGCATAGTTTTTCGTCGTTTTTGATCTGACGCTGATCGAACGTGATCTTGCACTCCAGCAAATCGTTCAAGCGGTCGAGATCTAGTTTGATAGGACTGCTGAAGGAAGACAGGGCCGTTTGCCAGCTGGCCGACAGCTCCGGAGCTATCTGACTGCTGGACACCGGCGACACGTTGTGGAAGACCTTCCAGATATTCTCCAGAATCAGGATCCGTTCCGCCTTGTCCATGGCGATCCGCGGCGACAGGGTCTCGATGCTACACTCCACAAAATGCGGCACCGAAGCGGAGAGATAGGCGGAGCGTAGGGTTTTCAGCAGGACTTCCGTGAATATCGTGTACCACTTGTCCACTCGGTAGTCGGACAACATCAGCGAGTACAGGGTGAGGGCTTTCGAGTGATCGCCACTTTTTAGGTACTCTTCGGCCATGTCGATGGCTAGCTTCTTGCGGAAGCGTAGGCATTTGTAGACCTTGTACTGGGCCATCGCCTGCCCCAGTAGGATGATGACGGCCGCCGAATGGTTGTGGGATCTTTCCATCTCCTGCACCAGGCAGATGATTTGCTGCTCCGATACGGGTTCGCCGGTTTTCGTGCCCCGGATACCGAAGAAGTCACTGTACAGCGCTGAGTTTGGGTTGGCGGAGGATGGCTGGAATGAGAAATGGGAAGACTGATTGAGGGTTGGTTGAGACGGGGAATTTTGACTGTATATGTAGTTTCTACAGGGTGGAATAACCTGGAATCTTCAAGGAATTTTCAACTTTCTTTATAAGGCAATTTTTTAAGAATAGAATATATTGAAGCACGCCAGAGAACCTTGGCAGGAATTTTAAAATATTTCATAACACAAAGTAGTTCTGAGTAGGATTGAAAGTAAATTTACAAAAGAATTCTGTGGATCATTCCAAGGCAATTTCCAAAGAGAATTCAAAGAGAGTTCTGACTAAAATATTTTTTTAAGGGATTTGTAAGGAGAACTGAAAGCGAATTCTAAGGAGAGCTCCAAGGTACTTGTAGGTAGAATTTCACGAGAAGCAGGAAAATCTAAAGGGAATTCTGACAATAATTCAATGAAGATTCTGAGGATAATTCGATAAGTACGCGTAGGAGAATTTCAAAGAGAATTTGAGGAAAGTTTCAACGATGTTTTGAGGTAAATTACAAAGGAATATTGTGGAGAATTTCAAGCTTGTTTCTGTAATCATCTTTAGAGAACTCAAAGAAGAGATCCAAGGCAATTCTGAGGAACATTTTACGGAACCACTTGAAGATAGTTCTGAAAGGAATATAGAATTTTAGAAGAATACTAAGTGAATACTGAGGAGAGATATTTTCAGGAAAATTCTTTGAAGATTAAGAATTTTATGAAAATTGCAGGGTGAATTAAAAAGCGGTTTATAGAGAATTTCTAGAGTATTATGGAGCAAATAAAAAAGGAGTATACCTAAGATGAACTCTGAGGTAATTTTTAGTTGATTCTAGAGGCAATTCTTAAAAAGCCTAAATTCCAAGTTGATTCAAACACAGACATTTAATAATAAAATAAATCAAGTGTATGAAACTTCTTTTATTCTAAAATTTCTGACGCATTAAACATTTCTAAGTTTTTAAGCTTTTAATTTTTTGCTAATTTTCGTATCTAAGGCAGTGCTGAAAATTGTATCCGTCACTGCATAAGTTGAGCTACTATGACGACCATTGCAACCGCTCCCGCCATTCCCAGCAAGCGAAATGTAAAAATTGAGTACTCACCTGTCCGCTCGCTCCCGGCTGTCCATCACTTCCCGGGATCGCCGCCGCCGTCGGTCCCAAAGCCGCACACTGCAGGAAGGCTTCCTTCCGCTTGCCGATGTATTCCGCTGCTTTGTGGAAGTAAATTCCCGGATGCTGCGTCTGCAACGGTGCCAGGCCATTTTTGACCGCGTCGCAAAACAGTTCCCCGAATGCACTGTACTGGACGCTCAACCAGGCGTAGTGCTCGAACAGCAGCTCCTTGAAGCCCGCCCGGCTGCGGTACTTGTTGATGTGATTCTTGAAGTGGGAAATCGCGTCCTTCGGGGCGTTCACCTTGAAGTACAACCGGCAGATCTTGTAGTTGACGAAGCCGGCGATGGTTTTGATTTCGAGACAGTTCGTATCCACGATTCGCAGCTCGTCCAGATTGGCGTACGTTTGCCGGTAGTGCTTCAGTGCATTTTGCTGGTCCAGTTTCAGTTCCGAGATGAAGCCCAGCTTGAAGAGATGCCTGATTTTGAGCATTTTATGCGTCTCGGTAAGCTGATCCTTGTGGGAACGGATTTGCTTCATAATTTGCGTGTAGCACGATTGGGAAAGTTCGAGAAAAGCGGACTGCAACCGCAGAATCTGCCCCATCAGGTGATCGTTGTGGGTTAGCACAAACAACATTTTGGCATTGATGTCACAGTTGTTCGTTAGATGGGCTGCGCGTTCGGAAGCCAATAGATCCTCCCCCTGGGGCAACGCAGCGCCTTTTTGAAGCAGAACCACCGCCAGCCGGGTATGTCGACCTTGAAGGGAATTCTTCAGCGATTGTATCATTGAAGCACAATCCCGCTGCTTTTCGCTCCACTGGGGATCGTTCCATTCCAAGTCCTGAAAGAGAACCACCACCGCTGGAAGAACGTGAAGATGCTTCAGCATCCAATTCCGCTTCAGAATCCCCTTCGGATGGTACCACTCGTAGGACTGTCGCTTCGGTTTGGATACCGGAAACTCATAGTTCGATGGAAGCAACTTATACTGGATCGCCTCGCTGGAAAGAAACCAAAATAACAACTCGCCCCAAAATCGTAAATCCAATCAACCGAGTTACCTCTCCGGTTTCTTACTGTTGTTGAACGAATCCCAGATCGTCTTGTGGGTGGCATTTCGCTGCACGTCCAACCCGGACAGTCCGACCAGCGGTTGAGCGGTTGTGACCAGCTCCGATGGCAGAACGCTAGCATCCAGTGTCATCACTCTCCGGCCCTCCCCTTTTTCCTCTTTTTTCTAAGCGTAGCCCGTATTATTCAAGGATGATGACACTTTCTCGTTATCAGCTTTCCTTCGATGGGATTTGTCAGCAGCCCGGAAACTCACTCGCGACGCGTCGAACGCAACGTTTCGGAATCGGACATCAATCCACCACCAAGCGGGAGGCCAGTTGGGTCGGAAAAAGGCCAGTAAAATTGGAGAATTTTCTCTGGGGAGGCTGCGGAAAACTGCGGGCAATCGCGAGCGAACGAAACGGATGATGACAAAAATTTTCGCACAGAAACCGAGACGATGACAGTTTCGGGGTCGATCGACGATGCAGAGCTGTCAGAGTGCGTTTGTGTGCGTGAGCGCGCGTGTTGTCAGAAAGTCAGTGCGGAAGGCCCAGTGCAAAAATAATGTAGGCAAGAGAGGTGCACGGAAAAAATGCTGGCTTTTCACCATCACATCGATCGTCCCGCATAAACAATAACCATAAGAAGCACCTAACCACCAATTCGGGATATCATCCCAACATTATGTGGTATGTTCGTATCATCTATGATATCGTTAGTGTATGATACCCGTTTATTAAGGGTACCATCAAATTTAAATCGCTGAAAATCCGGATTTTTTTTTGCTGATTTTGGCCATGATGAAAGATTAGCAAACTATCCAGGAAAATAAAGTTGCTGCAGATTTCTGCAATTCAAACTTCTGTCAAAATGCAATTATTTCACTGAATCTTCAGTAAATCTATTATGTTTTGCTGAAGCTGCAGTAAGTGTTTTTTGACAGTACTTTTCTGGTCGCCCAGCAATATTTTTGTTTTCCACCTTTGCTGAATTATCAATAATATTTTATCCGTTTGTTTTCGTTTTGGTAAATAGGGTGTTCCTGAACTGTATTTAATGGATGATTACACTAGTTTACAAAACAACATAAAAAGTGTAAACTTTAGTGGTTGACCAACGTTTCTAATGCAAAATCCTACGCTGAATTCAATGCCGTGGTCAGAAAAAAAAATTAAAGTAGAGCCATTTTTGAGATACACAAAAATTTTGATTTGTTGAATTTTGGACAAAAGTACGATTACTAAAATGTCAATATCTTTGATATAAAATGTCAATTATCACCAATTTTAAATCTTTTTTTATGAAAGTGAAGCTAAATAAATTTACTATCGTTCACTAGAATATTATGTCTTAATTAAAAATTTAATTTTGAAGTCATTTAAAAATTTACAGCATTTTTTTTTATTTTTCCTGCGAATTTTCCATAAAAATTTTGTTTTAATCAACATTTTTAATGGGATAAAAAGATTCAAAAGATCATTCCATAATTTATTCTTAAAGTCCATTAAAAACTGGAGAAAATGAGCCTTTAATGGATGAAATCGGTTGGAAATTGTCGAAGTTATGAAATTTTTTGTAAAATCATGGAAATTGAATATTCCAAGATTGGCCGTTGTCCCGCTCCTAGGTTCATGCACCACTTCCAGTAAGCCTTTCTGCGGACGTGTACGCATACGGTGCATTTCACTAACACTATCAGCTGTCACGCAAAATTAAATGGGATATTTTCAACAATATAATTTACGCTAGTGTTTGTGAGACCGCTCGGCGAGAACCTAACGCAACCAACTCAATTTGACAGCTTTCTTTCTTTAACATTGCTTAACGATGTATACGACAAAACGTGAATTCAAGTGTAAAAATGATCCTTAAAAGTTTTGTTACGCGTGTGGCAACTATATATTTACAAAATCGGTCAATTTCACTGCTTCGTTGCAAACTGCATACAGGCTTTATTTTAAAATTGATCCTGGAGACTTTGACGAACCGTGGATTCCAAAAGTATTATGTAGTTCGTGCAAAACGTGCTTGGCTAGGTGGATGTCAGGCGCAAGGTAAATTGATTTTTCGAATAACTTTCATATAAACAATTTATGTACAGCATGGTAGTGCTTTGTTCTTTCCTGATCGACATTATCTTACTTCATCTATTTTTGATAAGTGTTAATGTCTTACTTACTAACTCACTTATTTGTTATCTGTCAGTCGCTATTTGTCCTTTGACATGCCCACCATATGGCGTTTTGTCATGCAACGGATTGTTATTTCTGCTTGACAAAAGTTAAGCAACAAGGACGTCACAAAACAGTTGAGTATTCACAAGTGGCTTCTATGACAAAACCTGTTCCACATTAAAGTTCGGTCCCGTATCCTGTTTATCCAAAGCGGAAACGAGCGCCCTGTGTTGAATCGACCGTTACAAAAAGTGAGGAGGAATTCAAGGAGGAATGCGAGGAAGACTTCGAGGTGGAATTGGAAAGAAACCCAAAACTGTTTACACAATCCGAATTTAATGATTTGGTGCGAGATCTCGACTTATCGAAGGAGAAATCCGAATTGCTGGCATCACGCTTGAAAGAACACAACATGCTGAGCAAGGAGGTCAAAATTTCTTGTCACAGGAATCGTCACAAGAAATTTGACAAATATTATTCTACAAAGGACAAGGCATGTTTTTGCCATGACGTCAACGGCTTGTTTGAAGAGTTTGGTGAGCCATATGATCCAGCTGAATGGCGTTTATTCATCGATAGCAGCAAGTTGAGCTTGAAAGCCGTTTTACTGCATCAAGGGAATAAGAAACCTTCTATTCCATTAGCTCATGCCGTTAATATGAAGGCAACGTATGAATCAATGGCTCTATTGCTCAATTTGATAAATTACAATCAACACAATTGGAAAATTTGTTCCGATCTTAAAGTGATTGACTGGATTGCAACAGGGATACACAAAATATATGTGTTTTTTGTGTAAATGGGACAGTCGAGCTCGTAAGGAACACTACGTCCGAAAAGATTGGCCAAAACGGGATAATTTCACAATTGGTAAAGACAACGTTAAAAATGATCCTCTTGTGGTAAAAGAACGCATAATACTTCCACCACTACATATAAAACTTGGGCTATTCAAAAATTTCGTCAAAGCGTTGCAAAAAGAAGGGCCGGCATTCCAGTACTTGAAATCAGTATTTCCAAATTTATCTGACGCAAAGATAAAGGAAGGTGTATTTGTTGGCCCACAGATCAAAAAACTGCTCAATGATTCCGCATTCAATACAGTTTTGACACCAGATGAGGAAGAAGCGTGGAAATCGTTCCAGCGTGTTGTCACAACCTTTTAAGGAAATTTCAGAAGCCCAGATTATGAGGAAGCCGTCGATGAATTGCTCAAAAATTATGAGAAAATAGGTATAAATCAAAAATATTGTGTTTGTTACATATAATTAATTTCAAATCCTTTTATTTCACTGAACAAAGGTGTGAATATGTCTTTGAAGATACATTTCCTACATTCTCACATGGATTTTTTCCCGGAAAATCTTGGTGACGAGAGTGATGAGCACGGCGAACGTTTTCACCAACAAATGAAGATGATGGAACGTCGTTACCAAGGGTTTTGGGATGAAGCAATGATGGGTGACTATTGTTGGTTTCTGATTCGAGAAACAAGTTCAAAACATCGAAGACAAAGTCATTTGATTCTCAATCATTTTTAATAAAACCTAAATAAATTTCTTTTGTATCAACTCGGTTTTAAATCCTGATATGCCTTAATCAAATTGATATGTAGAGAAAAGAATCTCCCATGAAAACTTTACACGCGATTTGGATGCTTACAACGACACCTAGAAAAGGAACTCTAAAGCTGTTGTATTTCAGCAACATTTTTAAGTGTTTTACAAAAATGCTCATAACTTCGACAATTTCCAACCGATTTCATCCATTAAAGGCTCATTTTCTCCGGTTTTAAATGGACTTTAAGAATAAATTATGTAATGATTTTTTGAATCTTTTTATCCCATTCAAAATGTTGATTAAAACAAGATTTTTATGGAAAATTCGCAGGAAAAATAAAAAAAGATGCTGAAAATTTTTAAATGACTTCAAAATTGAATGTTTAATTAAGACATAATGTTCTAGTGAACGATAGAAAATTTATTTAGCTTCATTTTCATAAAAAAAGATTTAAAATTGGTGCTTTAGTTCCAAAGATATTGACATTTTAGTAATCGTAAACATTTTTGTATATCTCAAAAATGGCTCTACTTTAATTTTTTCTGACCACGGCATTGAATTCAGCGTAGGATTTTGCATTGCAAATGATCATCATCTTACCGAGTTCAAAAATGCTGTAAACTAGTGTTACTGATTAATGTTGTTAAAACATAATCATAGTATAAAGTTGATCTAATAACAACGTTTATTGAATGATTTGAGCTATTCAGGGTGAAATTCTCGAGGAACATCTTGCGGACAGTGCTTGCTAACATTAGATGGAAAATGTTGGTTAATTGATAAGATGATAACTTTGATTCACTTACTTTATGATTCCTGGTCAATTCGACAAGTATATACACACCAAATTTTGAAATCAAGTTCCAGCAAAATGATTTGCTGGTTTGTTTTCAGCAAAAACAAATTTTACTGTACATTCAGCAAACATGCTCATTTTGCTGGAGGCTCAGTGAATTTCAAGAACTGTCAAACTGTTTATCGATTTTCCTTTTGAACTACATGTTGTTCATGTTGCAATGTGTTTTTCTCGAGTTTTTTCTTGCCAATCCTCTGATAAAATTTAAGAAAATGCAGGTAAATATTTATTAAACCATTGAATAAATATAAAATCTTTGTGTTTCGTGAAAAATAACAACTCTCTATTCTTAACAGCCTCTACGATTAAAGATCAATTGTTCAACCAGCTTATAGTTACATCCTGTCTGCCTTTCATAAATAACCGTATTTATGATGGATGGTTCATAATCAGCGTTAAAAGGAATATGTAATCAACATAACGGTGTAATAAATTAATGTTATCAAGTGTATGCAATTCTGTAATCTATTTATTGTTAATATGAAAAGACAATAGGTACATTAAACTAGCTGAAATTCCAGCAAAAAGATTGTTACTCAACTTTGCTGTACATAGTAAAGATTACTGATTTTTCAGTAATGTGTTGTCAGTTTGACTTCGACCCATATTGGGTTCTTTAATTTTGAAAAATATATCGGTTTTTATACATCACCTGAAAGAGCTTCGTTTTCTGAGCACAGCGATATTTTTTTCGAACCCACACACTTTCATTTTTATTTTTAAATCAACATTTAAAGCAAAATAATAACTTCACTGTTTAACACTAAACTAACAAACTAACAGCTCACTCCCATACAAAGTGACACAGAGGGGCGCTAATAAGGTGATTTCTGCAAATGTAATCGCGCTTATTTAAAATAGTTCCAGT